GACGACACGAGAGGAGAAAAGGCTGAACTGGCTCGCCTGGAAGATGTCCTCACTGTGCGCTAGAGACTCTGCCGACAAAGTGAGCTAAACCTGTCAGAAGTGCGGAGTCCACATATAAAACTAACAGTGCTTCGCCATCAGCCATGGAACATCAGCCGCTAAATTAAAAAAATTACGCACGTGTGCTGCAAAAATGGGAAATGCTTGGGTATCGGCGTGATGAACTGCAACAGACTAAATACGACGAGGCGCCCGACAGAAACGGAAGACGCCTTTAGGGCCAGAGATGGGACTGCAGCCCTGGGACGGCTTCTCGGAGATGGCGCGTTCTTCCAAGAATCTGAGTCAACGGGATGCCAGCGCCGTCCCAGCAGCTGCTGTAGCCATGGAGGGGCGGTTCTGAAACTACACGGTGGGAACGTGGAAATGTGTGCGCGCTCAAGGACACGGCGTGCAGGCTCTCAGAAAGTCAGGCAGGAATCAAGACACGTGCACGGAATGCCACGCGATGTGCCTCCCAGCGGGGGTGTGCCTGTAAGTGAGGACTTGACGGCCGCTACATCGAGGCAAACCTTCAGGCACCACACCAAGTGAGGCGGCCAGACCCGGAGCCTGATTTCGGCAAAGGCTCTCGCTTACGAGCCCAAAATCCAGGGCAGACGGATGCAGAGACACAGCAGGCTGGGTGGCTGCCAGGCTGGGAGGGAAACGGCGAGCACCTGCTTTGGGCGGGGATGAGCCCGCCACGGTGGCACTGGGCCTCGACCGCCTCCGCCTCACCTCACGCGTGCGGAGCATGCGCCTGCCTCAAAGGCCCGCCTCACCTCTCATTTCGCAGGACCTCCCACCTCAGCTGCTCCACGCCACTCCGGGGATACGACTCTGGGCTTACCAGGCCTATGTCGCCTATGTAACTCTCTCTCGCGGGGAAGGCAAAGGTGCTTCCGATCTTGCTGATGACGGCATCTTACGCTGGACTTAGGTTCCGCGGGCGCCCTCTGGGGAAGTAGAAGGTCGGAATGCTTGGGCTGCTGGCCGGGGCAGAGGCTCTTCTTCCTGCAGCCTGAACCTGAAGAGTGACAGACAGCGCCAAAGGTTACAACCCGGGAGCATTGAACGCCTCTCCACCCGGATACCAGGGGCCTCTCCGGGGCCGACGTGCCGAGGCTGCTTGACTGCCGGGAGAGGACACGTGAGCCCTGTCACTCCACACGGGGCATCAAAAACACAAATACTCTGCCCAGGAGGATACACGGGCGCTGCCACGGGACTCCTACACTGGGTGGCTGCTCTGCACCACTGAGCTCCCCGCCACACCCGGGCAGGGCCTCTGGGGATACGGGCAGCCGCGCACCCCAGACATCTGAGGGCTTAGGACGTGAGAGGCCCAGGCACTGCCCACAGGCAGCCCTGCCCCTGAGCCCGGCGACTCACGCTCGGAGAGGCACAGGCAGGCAACCTCACAGCCAGGCCAAGGGGTCGACCACCAGGTACTGCTGTGAGCATGCCTCAGCCCCTCACCCAGCCTCACCGCGCCCCACGGGCTCTTGGACGCACTCAGCATCAGACTTACTCAAAGAGGCCCACAGGCCCCAGAACACGCACCAAAGTTCCCTGCCTAATCTCTACATTACTCAAGTAGGTGACATTTGATCTCATCCTGTGATGCCAAACACCGCCTGAAATCACACCGCATCAGCTACTGCATCGCGCCTCAAGGGACGGGGCCACGCCCTCTCCACCATCGATTAACTGAGGGGCTGTGTCCTCCACACTACTCCAGAGACGGGGCCATGTCCTCCTCCTCCACCGCCAGGGACGGCTGGGTGTACCATCAACCGCCCAGGGATGGGCCTGCCTCCTCCTCCAACTACCTAGGACAGGGCTGTATCTCCATCAACTACTCAGAACGTCGCGCTCCTCCTCCTCCAACTACCCAGGGACGGCTGTGCATCCTCCTCCTCCAACCACCCAGGGACGGGCCGCGCCTCCTCCAACCACCCAGGACGGGGCCGCGTCCTCTCCACCAAGTACTCCAGGGACGGGCTTTGTCCTCTCCACTAAGTACCCAGGGACGGGCTGCGCTCCTCCTCCTCCAACTACCCAGGATTTGGCTGCCCTCCTCTCAACCACCCAGGGATGGGGCCGTCTCCTCCTCCAACTACCCAGGGACGTGGGCTGCGCTCCTTCCTCTACTAAGTGCTACGGAGGAGGGGGTCCGGGAGGCTGGGGGAGGAGGGTCAATGGACCGCGAGCCCAGGCCTTTGCAGCCGCAGTCCTGACTGCCGATCAATGCAGGCCTGGGTCCCAGCTCCAGTGCCTCTACAGAGAAATACGGCCCACTGTTACTCCACAGGACCTCACCACGCCACAAGGGTCCTACAGACAGCGCCCCAACGGTCCCCACTCCTGTTGTCTCCACAGGCCCTCTACTCCAGTGTGAGACTCCGCTGCCTTCTGATCTCATCTAGGAGGAAGGAGGCCGCCCGTGACCTGGGGGCGGAGCAGCTTCCAGCAGGTGCTGATTGACAAGGCTTCCAGACCTTTACCTTCCCGTGATTCAGAATGTGAGTCTGTGCCTGGGAGCAGGAGGTCCCTGCATCTCCCCGGGCCTACGGCTGCGCACCCTCTGGCCCCACGCGCACCTCCCCGGGCCCACGGTGGCACCTCCCGGGCTCTACAGCGCACTCCCCGAGCCACGGCGCACTCCCGGTCCCACAGCGCACTCCTGCCCACGGCGCACCTCCCGGCCTCCACGGCACTTCCCCGGCCCACGGCGCACTCCCCAAGCCCACGGCGACCCGCAAGGCGCACCTCCTGGCCCGCGGCGCACTCCCGGCCTACTACAGTGCACTTCCCGAGTCCACGGCGCACTCCTGAGTCCGCTGGCGCACCCGGCCTGCGGCGCACCCTCCCCGGCCGCCGCCCGCGCGACCTCCTGCCCGCGGGCGGCACCCTCCCCCGGACCCCAAGACCAGGACTCACCCCAAGACCGGGGCTCACCCCAAGACCGGGGCTCACCCAAACACTGGGACTCACCCCAAGACCGGGGCTCACCCCAAGACCGGGGCTCACCCAAACACCGGGGCTCACCCCGAGACCGGGACTCACCCAGGGACCGGGGCTGCCTTCACACTCAGATGTCCGTCAGGTCCATTCACCTTTTATAGGACCAAAGGAAAACCCCCCACAGTACACACAGAAATACACGTCTAAAAATACATGTCTAGAATACCAGACAAACTTCAAGGCACATTTGTAATTTTAAAAAGTAAAACTGAGGCCAGGCATGGTGGCTCACGCCCGTCATCGCCCCAGCACTTTGAGAGGCTGAGACGAGAGGGCCCTTCCAGCCCAGGAGTTCCAGACCAGCCTGGGCAACATAGCGGAACCCTGTCTCTAAGAAAAAAAAGATAGGCCGGGCGCGGTGGCTCAAGCCTGTAATCCCAGCACTTTGGGAGGCCGAGGCGGGTGGATCACGAGGTCAGGAGATCGAGACCATCCTGGCTAACACGGTGAAACCCCGTCTCTACTAAAAATACAAAAAACTAGCCGGGCGTGGTGGCGGCGCCTGTCGTCCCAGCTACTCGGGAGGCTGAGGCAGGAGAATGGCGTAAACCCGGGAGGCGGAGCTTGCAGTGAGCTGAGATCCGGCCACTGCACTCCAGCCTGGGCGACAGAGCGAGACTCCGTCTAAAAAAAAAAAAAAAAAAAAAAAAAAAAAGACAAAATCAGCCAGGTGTGGTGGCAGGTGCCAGGGGTCCCAGTTACTCGGGAGGGCTGAGGTGGGTGGATCCCTTGAGCCCAGGAGGTTGAGGCTGCAGTGAGCTGAGATGATGTCACTGGACTCCAGCCCAGGGCCAGAGTGAGAACCTGGCTCAAAAAAAAAAAAAAGAAAAAGAAAAAACAGTTCCCAGCAAACAAGAACAGAAAGGGACGGGTCTCCGGAGTCTGACGAAGGACGCCGTGAAGAAACCAGGCCGGGGCTGTGCCAGGGGCGACGTGAGCCCGAGGCAGGGAGGGGCGTGCGCTCGGCGGCTGTCCAGCACCGCCCTGGCCGGACGAGCCGGGCAGCAAGTCAGGGGAGAGGCACAGACGCACACGAGAGGAGAAAAGGCTGAACCGGGCTCGCCTGAAGATGTCCTCACTGTGCGTTAGAGACTCTGCCGGCTGTAAAGTGAGCTAAACTCGGTCAGAAGTGCGGAGTCCACATATAAAAACCAACAGTGCTTCTCGCCACTCGCCATGGAACATCACGTTAAATTAAAAAAACGCCACGTACGGTGTCAGCAAAAATGGGAAATGCTTGGGTATCGACGTGATGAACCGCAAACAGGACCAAACACGACGAGGCGTCCCGACAGAAACGAAAGACGCCTGAAATAAGGGAGAGCTGGACCGTGTTCCCGAGACGGAAGCCTCGAGATGGCCAAGGTTCTTCCAAGTTAATCTGGAGTCAACGGGATGCCAGCGCCGTCCCAGCAGCTGCTGTAGCCATGGAGGGGCGGTTCTGAAATTCACACGGTGGGAACGGGAAACGGTGCGGCCGCTCGGGGCGACGGCGTGCAGGTTCCCCAGAAAGCCAGCAGTGGAACCGCACACGTGCACGGAATGCCACGCGATGTGGCCTCCCGCGGGGGGTGTGCCTGTGTTGAGGACCCTGACGGCCGCTACATCGAGGCAAACCTTCAGCACCACACACCAAGTGAGGGCGAACAGACCCGGAGCTCACTCGGCAAAGGCTTCCGTTTACGAGCCCAAAAAATCCAGGGCAGACGGATGCAGAGACACACAGCAGGCTGGTGGCTGCCAGGGGCTGGGGAGGGAAACGGCGAGCACCCGTTTCGTGGGGATGTAGCCTCACATGCCGGTGGCACCCGCCTCGACCGCTCCGCCTCACCCTCACGCGTGTGACATGCGCCTGCCTCGGCCGCTCCGCCTCACCCTCTCACGCCCGCAGGACCACCTCAGCTGCTCCACGTCACCCGGGGGACACGCACCTTGGCCACCAGGCCCATGTCGCCCATGGTGGCCCTCTCGTGGGGGAAGCGGGCAAAGGTGCTCTCGATCTTGCTGATGACGGCATCCACGTTGACCGAGTCCTGCGGGCGTCCTCTGGGGAAGTAGAAGGTCGGAATGCTTTGGCTGCTGGCCGGGGGCAGAGGCTCTTCTTTCCGCGTCTGAACCTGAAGAGTGACAGACAGCGCTCGGTTACAACCCGGGAGCATTGAACGCCTTCTCCACCCGGACAACACGAGGGGCCTCTCCGGGGCCGACGGTGCCGAGGCCGCCTGACCCCGGCCGGGAGAGGACACGCCGCAGTCCCTGTCGGGGACCACACGGGTACTGCACTGCTGGGGCCACCTCTGCCCAGGAGGACACACGACGCTGCCACGGACCCCACACTGGGTGGCTGCTCTGCACCACTGAGCCCCCGCCACACCCGGCAGGGCCCTGGGGACACGGGCAGCCGCGCACCCCAGACATCTGAGGGCTCAGACGTGGAGAGGCCCAGGCGCCGTCCACAGGCAGCCCTGCCCCTGGAGCCCGGGCGACTCACGTTCGGAGAGGCACAGGCAGGGCAACCTCACAGCCAGGCCAAGGGGTCGACCACCAGGTACTGCTGTGGACATGCCTCAGCCCCTCACCCAGCCCCTCACCCGCGCCCACGGGCTCTTGGACCCACTCAGCATCAGACTTCCCTTACCCAGTACGTCCACAGGCCCCAGAACACGCACTCAAAGTTCCCTGCTTCAATCTCTACACAGCCTGCGAGGTGGACATTTGATCTCATCCTGTGATGCTAAAACACCGCCTGAAACGGTTAACGGCATGCAGTTGGCATCAGCGGCCGTACTGCGTCCTCGGGGGCCCGGGCCCGTCCTCCTCCACCATAACCGACTACTGAGGCGGGGCTGTGTCCTCCCATTAACTACCCAGGAGAGCGGGGCCATGTCCTCCTCCAACGCCCAAGGTGCACCCGGCCAGCCTTCCTCCTCTTACGCCCAGGAGATGGGCCGCGTCCTCCTCCTCCCAACTACTGCCCAGGGGACAGAGGCTGTATCCTCTTCCATCAGCTACTCAGGGGAGACGGGGCGGCGTCCTCCTCCTCCAACTACTACCCAGGGCCGGGCTGCATCTCCTCACCAACCACCCAGGAGACGATTTCCCGTCTCTCTCCTTCCCACAGGGGCCAGAGGCGCGTCCTCCTCCTGCCCAGGGGCGGGCTTTGTCCTCCTCCACCAGAAGTACCCAGAGACGGGGCTCGTCCTCCTCCTCCAACTACCCAGGACGGGCTGCGTCCTCCTCCTCCAACCACCCAGGGGATGTTTGCGTCCTCCTCCTCCCAACCACCCAGAGGCGGGCTCGTCCTCCTCCACCAAGTGCCACGGAGGAGGGGTCGGGAGAAGGGGAGGAGGGTTCAATGGACCACAGCCCAGGGCCTTTGCAGCCGCAGTCTGACTGCGGGATCAATGCAGGCCTGGGTCCAGCTCCAGTGCCCTCACAGAGAACCACGGCCCACCCTGCTGCCCACAGGATCCCCGTCTAGGGGTCGCCCCAGCGGTCCCCACCCTGCTGTCTCCCACAGGGCCCTCTCACTCCAGGTGAGACTCCGCTGCCTTTCTCTGATCCCCATCTAGGAGGAAGGAGGCCGCCTCCGTGACCTGGGGCGGAGCAGGCTTCCCGCAGCAGGTGCCGACTGAGCGCTGCTTCCCGCAAACCTACCTTCCCGTGTGATTCAGAACGTGAGCTCTGTGCCTGGGACAGGAGGTCCTGCCTCTCCCGGGCCCACGGCGCGCACCTCTCTGGCCCCCACCTGGCCTCCCGAGCCCCGGCGCACCTCCCGGGCCCACAGCGCCACCTCCCGAGCCCGGCGCACCTCCCAGACTGGCGCACCTCCCAGCCTGGCTGCGCACCTCCCGGGCCACGGCGCCTCCCAAGCCCACGGCGCACCTCCCAAGCCCACGGCGCGCCACCTCCCGGGCCAGGCGCCTGCCTGCCTCCCGGGCCAGGCGCACCTCCCGGGCCCACAGTGCACCTCCCGGAGTCCACGGCGCCTCCCTGAGTCCGCGGCGCACCTCCCGGAGCCTGCGGCGCCACCTCCCGGCCGGCGCGCACCTCCCCAAGCCGGCGCCTGCCTCCCAGGCCTGGCCTCCGGGCCACGGCGCGCACCTCCCGGGCCCTTGGCGCACCTCCCGGGCCCACAGTGCACCTCCTGATCCTTGTGGTGCACCTCCGAACCTCGGCACTTCTCCCAGGCCCACAGTACACCCCCTGGGTCAGCTCGAGGCGTGGCTGCCTCCCAGCCTAGCTCCAGGCCCCACGGCGCCTCCCAGTCCACAGCGCCTCCCTGGCCACCGGCGCACCTCCCCCAGCCCACAGTGCACCTCCCGGACGACGTGTCCCCACAGCGGCGTCTTCCCGTCTCCCTCCCGCCTCCTGCAGCGGGGGCCCCACTGTGGAGCCTGCGGCTCTTCCCCTCCATCACGCTGGAGTTTCCGCTCTGCACTGTTGGGAGTACGGAGACTGGCGCGAGTATTCTGCAGCCAGACTCTCGGAGAGCACAGTTGGCAATAGGAGGAATGATGGCAGGGCTCCTGACAAGCTCCCTACTGAAAGCGCCCAGGAACCCTGCAGTGTGTTTCACAAGCGTCTTCCAGAGGAGCCCAGCCACCCCCCAGGCTGGCAGGAGAGGAGGACACCTCAGGCCGGCTGCCTGGAAGGAGGAGCCCAGGGAAGCCCGTGGAGCCCGAACAGGCTCTGCCTGCACGGAGCTGGGGCGGGCTTGGGAATCTCAGTCTTGCGAGTATGGGAGGCTTTAGGCCAGCCGGGGGTGCCAGGAAGCGCCCTACGTCTGACGCTTAAACACGGCACCGCCCACGGCGCACCTCCCGGGCCCACGGCGCACCTCCCCGGGCCCGCGGCGCACCTCCCCGGGCCCACAGTGCACCTCCCTGAGTCCACGGCGCACCTCCCTGAGTCCGCGGTGCACCTCCCGGGCCTGCGGCGCACCTCCCCGGGCCCACAGTGCACCCCCCTGAGTCCACGGCGCACCTCCCCGGGCCCGCGGCGCACCTCCCCCGGCCCACAGCGCACCTCCCGGGCCCACGGCGCACCTCCCCGAGTCCACAGCGCACCTCCCTGGCCCACGGCGCACCTCCCCCAGCCCACAGTGCACCTCCCCGGGCCCACGACGTGTCCCCACAGCGGCGTCTTCCCGTCTCCCTCCCGCCTCCTGCAGCGGGGGCCCCACTGTGGAGCCTGCGGCTCTTCCCCTCCATCACGCTGGGTTCACACCGCTCTGCTATTTGGGGTACGGAACTGACGCCGCAAGTATTCTGCAGCGGGCTCTCGGGCTCCTGACTGTGGCAATACAATGATGACCTGGGCACACAAACCAAGCTCCCTACTGAAAACCGCCAGGAACCCTGCACGGTGTGTTTCACAAGCGTCTTCCAGACGGCACCCCCAGGCTGGCAGGAGAGGAGGACGTCTCAGGCCACGGCTGCCTGGAAGGAGCCCAGGGAAGCCCGTGGAGCCCGAACAGGCTCTGCCTGCAGAAGCGTGGGCCGAGCGCGCTCACCCGAAATCTCAGTCTCGCAGGGCTCTGGGGAAGAGCAGGCAAAGCCCAGGGTCCTCCGGGGAAGCCGCCCTAAGTACGGCGCCCAGAACACGGCACCTGCAGTGGGAAGAAGAACTCCAAGGACGTCCCCAGCGCGCCTCCGGCCCCAGGAAGCAAAGGGAACTTGCAGCCTTCACCTGGAGCTGCTCGTAGGAGCTGCGCAGGGCGGAGTTCTCCCCCGAGAACTTACGGCTGCGACTCTCCCGCAGGTTTGCAAACCAAACAAGTCACCAGGACGGTGCGCAAACCCTCAAACCGACCGGGCACAGTGGCTCGTGCCTGCAATCCTGGCGCTTTGGGAGGCTGAGGGGGGCAGGACGCCTGAGCTGAGGAGTTCGAGACCAGTCTGGGCAACATGGCAAAACTTCCTCTCTACTAAAAAAAAAAAAAAAAAAATAGAAAAAATTAGCTGGGTTTGGTGGCACACGCCTGTCATCACAGCTACTTGGGAGGCTGAGGCAGGAGAATCGCTTCAACCCAGGAGGTGGAGGTTGCAGTGAGCCGAGATGGTGCCACTGCACTCCAGCCTGGGCGACAGAGCGAGACTCTGTCTTAAAACAAACCAGAAAATTAACCAGGCGTGGTGGCGGGCACCCGTCATCCCAGCTACTTGAGGGGCTGAGGCAGGAGAATCGCTTAACCCTGGGAGGCGGAGGTTGCAGTGAGCTGAGATCGCGCCACTGCGCTCCAGCCCGGGTGACAGAGGGAGACTCCGTCTCAAAAAAAAAAAAAAAAAGATGAACATGTAGACACGTTTAGACCAGAATGTACACAGTATGCACACCATTAACAGACCATTAACATGCCGTTAACAGACACCCTGTGAGGCAAAAGCTGAAGAAACGCAGCCCGGAGAAGCCAAGAGCTCCCAAAGGGAAGGTCGGAATTGAAAGAAGGGATGCAGAGCGGTAACGAGTGGGAAAACCTCGGCACGCTGACCACAGAAATCAGTGATAACAACGTACGTTCAATTCTTAAAAAAAAACTCAAAACAACAGCGTGTCAGTGAAATGGTGACTGGATGAGTGTGTGCCTGTTTGTGAGTCGGAGAAAAAGATATTGATTAATATTGGGCTTCGAAATATTTAGCTGACATTCCTTTTTTTTTCTCTCTCTTTAAAGAGATGGGGGTCTCGCTACGTTGCCCAGGCTGGTCTTGAACTCCTGGCCTCCAGCGATTCTCCTGCCTCAGCCTCCCAAGGCGCTGGGATCACAGGTGTGAGGCACCGTGCCCGGCCAGCCGCCGATTCTGTGGGATAAACAGAGAGCTCGTAGAAAGCGTGTACCCCAAACGAGAGAAGAGGTGACGGAGCTGAAAAAGGGCAGGAGACAGGGATCCAGGAGGAGACGTAAGAGTCCATCACACGGACGAGCAGACGACATGGACATCAATGAACCAAGTGTTCCGGTTACAAGGCAAACATCTGGCTGCAGAAAGAAAACAGCATTTGTGTATACGGCAGATACAGAAGACAGCAGCACACAGGAGATACACGTGGCTTAAGGACCCAGAGGCTACACATTTTTTTTCAGGTGGAAAAAGACAGAGCAGGCAGACAGTAAAGCTGGCGTCGCCGTACTAACATCCATGAAGTGACACAAGGCGATGGACACACCCGGAGACGGACAGGCCACCGCAGAACGCTGATGAGGTCGGTCACTGGAGGACAGGATGATGCTAACTTTATCCGTGCCTGACAACGCAGCCCTGGCACTGATCAAGTAAACACCACTGGGCACAAACTCACCACGCCAGAAAGGAAGACAACACCCACCCCGGGCACCAACACAGGGATGGCCAGGACCACCCACCCCGGGCACCGACATGGGGAAGGCCGGGACCACCCACCCTGGGCACCGATGGGGGAAGCCAGGGTCCCCACCCTGGGCACTGATGGGGGGAAGGCCAGGACCATCCACCCTGGGCACCAACACAGGGAAGGCCGGGACCACCCACCCCGGGCACCGACATGAGGAAGGCCGGGACCACCCACCCTGGGCACCGATGGGGGGAAGGCCAGGACCATCCACCCAGGGCACCAACACAGGGATGGCCAGGACCACCCACCCCGGGCACCGACATGGGGAAGGCCGGGACCCCACCCTGGGCACTGATGGGGGGAAGGCCGGGACCCCCACCCTGGGCACTGACACGGGGAAGGCCG